TGACGAGGCACTGAAAGCCAAATGATTTCATCAATCGCAAAGCCTGACTCACTACAATACTGTTTTGCAAGATTGTCAGCAACTATACATCTTCAATCTAACAATTTTTTGCACCCACAAAATTTCCCGCTAAGCTAATTCCTGAAGACATATTTTACTACCACCCCTAGTAGGTAGTTGGAGACGAATCGTACATTCACCTTATTAGATCCTGATCCCTGCCATGTGCGAGGTTAATGGGTCCCCAGCTGCACTAGCGTGCCACTTTCTCCGCTCAAAAGTGAACGGAAACGGAGACGAGATACCCTTGTGTCGTCTCCTGACTCTGCCCGCGCTATCCTTGGCTTACATCACATGCTCGATACCAAGATCTCGCAGCGAAACACCGATTAAGCGGTATAGCAAACAGAAATCTAAATTCAAAATTCTTATGGCATGACCACACTCTCTAAAGACAATGAGAACACATTCGATTCTAATGGTATGAGAGGAGACGTCTGGTTTCCCCATTGGTGCGCTCCGCCTCAAAACAGTCTTGAATGACAGAGCGCACCAATGAAATGACGCAGTAGCAAGAACGACTCCGCCCATGCGGCGTGTGTGGACAGAACTTTTAGAACATGTCTCGAAGATACAGCGAAAACCTCAGTTGAGAATTCAGATAGCAGAAATCAGAGAACAACAGAAGATGTCTGAGCACTTCCCACATCGTATGACAAACGCTTAGGCAGCGTTCAGACTCGCGATGACACGCGTCGACATGCTGTGAGGCGCTGCAACGCTCGTCGACGCGCGTTAGAGCGCGTTGCAGAGCGTCGACGCAAGTGACTGCGAAGTGTGAACGCTGTCTTAGGTACGACAAGAGCTCAAAGAGTGTAAAGGTGGTAGCCAAAATCTACATGCGATTCAATACCTTCTTCTGAACAGCTCCACGTCGTCGCATTTTCTCACCACACGGGCTTCCAGGATCTTCGTAGAGGGAGGTTTGCGTCAGATCAGGATTACTGGAACAAAGAATTGTTAACGAAATTACGACACCGATAACTTACTTCTCGAAAACCCTTTCGACAATATTTCCCTATCAATCAATAAATTATACTAGGGGGCCTATGAGAACTATAGATAAAAAATCAAGTCAACATTTCCCAGTAACTATTACCCTCTTTCAAGGGGCGTATTTCCAGCTCATCGTCACAGTGGGTAGTACATGTAAAGCGGGGAAAAACCGCGAAAAGTCAACAGCCAAAAATTCTCTCAAAATCAAATACGATTGCCTCACTTCAGCGGGCGAAAATCTCCCATAGGAGATTCTCTAATGTGCATCGTGCCTTGGGCGGGGAAATTTTCAAACCGCGACTATCCTACTCCTTCCCCCCCCGCTTCCTCATCATCTTACCAAAGAACTGAAGTCCTGTCCGGCAGCGAGGTCGAATACTCTATTGCAAAAAAATGACTGCCCAATCATCCCCCGCTCGACAGAAAATCTTTGGTGTGAAAAACTGGGCAACGCGGGAAGTTGGTAGGTAGATATTGGGAAAGGACGGTCGTTGTACCGAGACCCTGAAGGGGGGTCGTATTGACACCACCTTACACACATCACGATGCTGTACCCTGCCACCACCCCACCCCATCCTTCCCTTACCAACAAAAGTACCCCTTCTCTCCGGATTCCGCGACCCCAATGAATGGGCCCTCTCCAGAACAGATCAGAAGGCACCAAATCATGAGTATGCATCGGTAAGAGTTCCGACTTATACTAGCTTCAAAGCGAGCAAACCTGCAGATAGATTCACTGACCTGGCTTTCTTCAACATATCGATGGTATTCTGTAATCGTGACGCTGCTGCCGTTACTTCGCCTTCAGCTGCCAATGAGACATTACCCACACTGCGCGCCAACAATCGTGATTGCATCAATGACGAGGCACTGAAAGCCAAATGATTTCATCAGTTGCAAAGCCTGACTCACTACAACAAGATAAGAATTGATTTGTTTTCATACTGTAGCCCGTTTTCGCGAGGAAAAATCAGGGAGTGTCATTATCGCGACGACATTTTAGGACGAAAGAAAGGATGATTTTGAAGCGAGTTATCTCATCTTACTGATTGAAGAAACTAACTGCTAATTAATGTGTATGTTAACATATCAATTTGATTCAGAATCTTCTATTTTGAAGCAGAGGCGGAGTGGTGTAAGGAGGCAAAGAGCACGCCTACCAAGGGGCGTACTCCGGGCCCAGGTGTCGGATCCTTCAGCTTATTATGTATCGTTGACAAGCAACACAGTTCGGAACTACGGTTTCAGACTAAGCGGCTTTGGAATATTATTGTGTGAATTTAGATACTTGGTCTGCTGTTAGTAACAGACTTTTCTGGTTGATTTAGTGCAGAGTAAAAAACGCCCAGTAAATGTTTTATTGTCTAGAGCAGCCACAGTAATCGGCGCGATTTTAAGCTCTGGTTTAACCGACTTTTGCGTCAGCTAGCCGTTGCCTGGTCGACTCTCTGTTCGCTGGTTGATTTCTCCGCGGTAGTCTACGATGGTCGTAGGGAGTAGGTATGCCGTCTTGTAGACTCTGGTCAAGGGCAAACGCCTTCTATGTAGCTTCACAGGAATTTACAGGTACGCACAGGAGACATCGATAGTGATTGACGGGAATCATCAAAATGCCCCCACCAAGCAAAATTGCGCCCTAACGTGAAATGCTGCAGTATGTCGACCCAGTAGGCAATGAAGTATTGTGCTAGTTTCTCGCCGCAACATAGATCTCTGGTTTGCGATTAGATCAACTTTTCGCAGAAAATTTTTCCCTCGTCAAACATCTAGTTCCTTGGTCGAAAACAGAGGTCTCCATCTAAGAGGATCAGATTATTCACAGAATCTGAAGCGTCGTAGGAATGCGAGAAAGAAACACTCCGATAACAATCTCTCGGATTTGATTTAGCGCCTTATCGTGACATGCACACCGCAGGAGCATCTCTCGCCTTTAAAATCACATACCGATTTTAATTTATTGCAGACCCTGTCCAGAACCAATGTATTAGAAACCATTTACTGAATAGACCCTAAAATTTGACTCACCCAGCCATCTTCTGCGCCAAATAATTCTGTGTTCTCCTTGGAGAAGTTGTAGTAGTGGAAGATGGAGCAGCTCCATATCGTTGTTGGTCAAACAGTCGCCTAGAAGCCATACCACCAAGCCGACCTGATGTCTCTACCGCGGAGACTGACCTAAATGAACTCATTTGGCAGCTTGCCAACAGTGTAAACTTCCAAAAGTCTGTTTCGAAAAAAAAAAAAGCCCACAAATGTTACAGAAATTGTTTGAAATCATTTACCCCGCGAAAATTCGGTGCTTAGCACCCTCACCAAGCCTGAAATGACAGCTTGTAATTTTAGTTAGGCAAGACGACGAGTATATCTATATAATTAAGCGCAAGCATACCAACCCGTCCCCCCCTCCCCCCTCTGCCCCCTCCCACCCATTGACGAAGTGGCCAACCCACCCAGATTTGGCCCTCAAATGCTAAGACTCGTTGCGAATTTCCAGGGCAAGCGTTCTATGTACTATCCCTTCAAGAGTTCAGAATGGAGGCAGGACTTCTGGCCATGACTTAGTACTCAGCGTCATTTTGATTATTCCTAGTCGGAGGCAGCCATATACCCCACTGAACTTTATAGGCCGACAAATAGTGTGCGATGTTTACCAGTGAACTATTCTGTGTCCCAAACAGGGCACATGATAGGGTTGAGGGAAACGGTAGTACCACTTCGATCCCTCCCGCAAGAAAGTCGACAACGCTTTTCTGCAGCCTACCCCACCCTCAACGCGTCCTCCGTTTATCACTTCTTCTTCGAAAAATCGAGCACGACCCTCTCCGCCTGCACACGCCCCCCTCCCGTCCTGGTGGAATGCATACAACAATGATGTAGGCCGGCTCAAAATTCTCGTTTCACATGGTAAAAGGCTGTTTCGCGAGTAATAAGAAGAAACAAATCAAAGGGCAGGGATCGTCACAAAGCCGTAACAAATTCTGTTCGACTCTAAAATATTATCTGCGTCCTTTGAGATAATCGCAACGGGCAAGAAAAGACTGCTATGCGTGGTGGCTGCAGAGGCAGTAAAGCACGCACGAGTGCTGACAAGCTAATCGCAAAAACCTGAAACAGGAAAAACTGTGAACAAGAAAAGTCAAAACCAGCGCGAATTTCCAAAGTTTGCTGGAGATCCCCAACGTACGACGTCATCCCAACGAGGAAACAATAATTATTATAACAGGTCCGATTCTAATGAACTTCAAAATATTATCGGTCGCCCAAATAGCAGAACAGAATTGAAAAACTGCGCCCAGGTATACTACCCTGCACACAATAGTCAACAGCCGTTCGTTATCGCAGAAAAGCAGTTACATGGTGAAAAAACTCGTTCGTCGGCCTGCCGTCGCATTTGATAACCCTCTAATACTGTTGATAACCCACGGAAGAAGAAAAGACGTTTCATCACAATTTCGGACAAAAATAGATCAGAGAATAGAGGGTAAGAAAGGGAGCGAAACTCGTGTCAAGCTTCAGCATTTCTTCTTCACCTCTCACGGTGAGGTATCTAACCTGGAAGCGTGACTTAGCCAGAGCTCTAGGATGCGCATTCGGGCAGGTGCGCGCTCAGTAACTTGAGTCTTACTCTCTAACCAACAGAAGTTCCTCAAAAGCGTGTTCTTCGCTGTATATTGGTAACATTACTGGGTGAGAAGTGAGATCGAATGAATTGTACATCGTCTAGCTCGTAAACAATTGTGTAGGCTAGATGCCATTCAAATAGTCGTTAGGATTCCGAGGAGTGTTTACCGCATCTCAGGAATGGATTGTACCCAATTCATTCCTTTTTCTACCTACTGGCGCACTGACCAAATACTAGCTATAAAGTACAGTAGATGTTGCAACTTCCGTAAGGTACGAAATGCTTATCACAGGTGTGGCCCACAGAGTGAAGCTTCCAAATCACTTTTGCTGCTTTTGAAAGAGCTCCCAAGCTGCATATAACAGGTTGTCCGGAAAGTTCTCAGCGTTTTGCCTTTTCCAAGACTTTTTAAGCATGTCAAAAGAGCAACTTGGACGATATTTTTCTTCAACTAAAAATTGTCAATCCGCAGTCGTGACAGCTCGACAAATTAACCAGGTGTGGGGGCCCAATTAGAGGAAGCACCTGCGACAATGGTTCGACAACATATTCGCTCGGAGCATTTCAGCCCTTGAAGCGTGTAACCTCGATAGCGGTCGACCCCAAAGCATACCTGGGGATTTGAAGGCGTTGTGAGCTGACCCATCCCAAACCGTTCGAGGGATCGCAGAAAAGCTAGGCGTTGGCAAATCCACTGTTGCGGATGTCTGAAGCGCAATGGGAAGGTGAAAAAACTCGACAAGGGTGCCCCACAATTGAGTGACCGGCAGAATTGGCACGTCTCGAGGTTCCTTTTTCACTGCTTTTGCGCAGCAGAAACGGTTTTTGGGCCGAATTGTCACCTGTGATGAAAAATGATCATGTATGATAACAGGAGACGTCCGGACAGTGATTGGATGCCGACGAATCACCGAGGCAATTTCCAAAGCCGAATCCTCACGAAAAAAAGATTCTGGTCACAGTGTGGTGGTCATCGGCTGGTGTGATCCACTATAACTTTTATCACCAGGCCAAACCATCACAGCAGAACCCTACTGTGAAGGAATCGACGAAATGTACCGAAAATTGCGTCAGCTGCAGCCAGCACTTGTCAACAGAAAGGTCCGATTCTTTTGCATGACAAGCGCCCGCCCCCCCCCCCCCACGTTTCACAAATCACTTTCCATAAATTGAACGAATTGGGGGTTGAGGTTCTACCCCCAATTCGTTCAATTTATTCCATATTCTTCAGACCTTTCACCAACCGACTATCACCTTTCATTTTCAGAAATTCTTAGCTGAAGATACTTCATCAATTAGCCGACTAGAGCAAAAAAAAAACCTTTCGTAAACTTCTCGATTCTCAACACCCAGTTTTTTCTTTGATGGGATTCACCGACTGTTTCACAATGCGCAATAAGTCGATGATTCGACGGTGCTGATTGGCATTAATCGGATGAGTATTAAGGAATTTATGATTGCTGATAGTGAAATACTCAAAGCGCAGAGAACCTTCCGGACAACCCAACAGCAATCAGGCTCCTATTGTTGGGGTCATCCAGTGGACACTGCACACCATCGCAATGAAGAAAACTTCTTCCAGCACAAGCCAAAGTTCTCCTGCACACCACCTAAAGGCAATTGGCACGATAAATTCCCCCAAAGCGACTAGGATTAATACTCCTGGCAGGATAGAATTCCGCGACCCTGGGCAGCGCTGCATAGCGGTTTCCCCGAGGAAGGTGCCCTTATAAGGGCCCTATCAAGCCACATACTTCACGTCCAACGCCGCCACGCCGCCACGCCCGCACGCACACAATTGGCCAGGCTCCGAATGCAGTTCGCACATCTCTGCATTCCTTGAATCAAGAGCTATGCAAAGCAGCCTAAATTTGTGGCCCAGGGGCAGCAAGACTCTGCCCAAAAAAACAGTTGCTAAGCAAACAGAATTCCCCAAAAAAGCAACCCCACCTTAAAGCGTCTGTCAAGAGGAAAGTTGCAGCGACAAGGAGAAGCAAACAACAATATGGATTTCTAACCACCTGTGCTGCTTACTTGTGCGCTATTCACACCAGCAGAGACTAAGCGATTCAACGTAAGCGCTGTTCGGCTTGGGATGGGCATTTTACTTTCGCTGGTCTCCCTGATTGGTTATTGTTAAATTACACGCCACAAACAACCTGACGAATCTTGTAGGTTTACTCAGGAGACAGAAGCCTTCCCATAGCATTTATTCCCAGTATTGCCTACCATATTTTATGATTACACCCGAGCTCACAATAGCGTTAGTCACGACAATAATCAGTTACGCATGGGAGCCCCTTATCGGTAGGGGATCACTGAACATTTGGGGTCACGTAAGCAGTGTAATCGCTCGAATGTAATGTCAAGAGAGCAATGGCTCGGAAAAGCTAACAAGTTTGCACCTTCCGTACTCGAACTTGGCAAATTTTTCTTCGTTAGCAGAGAAATAATCGGGAATTTCCCCAACTCTCTTTCTGCAGAGCTGCCGCGAAGGGTAAACGGCGACAGATGGTATAGGGGGAATTCTATTGAAATACTGTGTTCCTGAAGATTCCATAAACTCTAAAGAACTAGAGAACCATCCTACGGGAATCTTAGCAGCGGGGCTCACAAACATATTACCTCCAGTACAGCACCTCTCATTTGATCGTCTTAGCCATCTATGGACGGGCGTACCTGGGAGGGCGCGATGGTTGCAAGTCTCTGGAAAATTCTGCGCCTGCGGACTGCGCCTCCGACTTGCTAAAACCGAAAGATTAAATGGGGATCCGCGATGCAGAAAACTTAGAACGGTCGAAGTCAAAGTTAAGGGTCGGGAAAAGCGAAACTGCGGTGGCAGTACAACTTAACAGAGTTCCTCCTCCGCGCGATCCTCCCTACCAGCCCAGTCGCTGAAATCTTCATTAGACCTACCCCTTCCCGACGACGAAATACCCACCACAATGGGTTCCCTGAAGCTGGACAAAATACCAGAAACTCTGCGAGTGTCCTAGAATAGAATCGTGATCTCGTTCTAGACAAAATTCTACCAGAAACATAGGGAGGGTCCAGGGTTACAATAGCAGAATAGTGTCATGGAATTACTGGTAAGTCATTTATTATAGAAGAAAACAGGCAAAGGGTAGCGAAGTAAGCATATGTTGTACGGCAGGCCGCAGTGTATCAGAAAGTATGAGCGTTTTTAGGGTGACAAATGTCACAGAGCTGCGGCTAGAAACGCGGCCCGTTGGGGTAAACTTTTGCAAAATACGCCCCCCCCCCTCGAAAATTACTCCTCTTGCACGATCCCTTTCCACATCCCCATCGCATATCATCTTCCTAAAACTCCCAACTTACAGTCCTTGGAGGTGGGGGTGGCGGGAGCTATATAGAGCATAAAGACCAGGAAATTTTTGACAGGCCGATTCACTAAAGCTGTGACTGAGTTTGGCTTAAAGTCCGTCTCTGATCATGTGGACATTCGGAAACTGTTAACCACATATTGAAGGCCACAAGGCTAGATCCCCATTCAAAGTACTGACTCTCGATTCTCCTTGATGCGAAGTTCGTTCATCGAGACCACAC